AGGCCGTTTTTTTTTTTCCCCCCCACCCAAACCGGGGGGGGGCGGCCCCCCCCCCCCCCGCCTCTGGCCGCCGAGAACGGCGTCGATTAATCACAGTGAGGCCTGTGAGAGCGCCCTCATAAATCGCCTCGCCGCTCCTTAAACAGGAGAGTCCCAGGGCGCAGCGCCGTCATTTATCAACACTGTGCACCGGATGAGGGGTAAATAAAACTCTGAATATGGAACGGTGGGGAGCAGAGCAGGGTGTCCTGGGATGTTGAGCATATCCAGTGGTGTAATGGTAAATAAAGAAGTGCCTAAGCTCTGACCTCCAAGCAGTCATCATTTTTGGTGTGTTTATTTGTTGAATATGTGCTTTGAATTACTCATTTGAGAGTCTTCAGCAGTTTAGTTTGAATCACACATTCTGACCACATTCTGAACACGTTAATGGCTTTTTTTTTTTACCCCAAATGATTAAATACAACATTTTTTGTCATAATTATTTGTCACAATGTAATTGATATTAACAGGTCGTCAGACTCATACAACTCCAATGAGGCTTGAAATTACAATTAAGTAGCATATAGATGCATTGGATGCGGTGTGATTTAACTAGCACAAAACACGTTTTTATACAATATGTAACAATACTTTTTTATATAACATAACTGCTTTGTCAGAGCAGTGAACCTGCTATGATCAACTATTTCTTATTAAGATTAATGAATAAATACAACACACAATCCTCGAAAAAATATAGAGCAGTTTGGTTGCTTATGGACAAGAAATTGGCAAGTTATTAAAAATAGATAACTATTAACTATTAAATAGACAAATAACAGCTTGGAAAAGTACAGTTAAAGGCTAGCCTAAAGGGCTAGAATAAAACTTGTTAAGGAGAGAGAAGTTAGCAAAATATGCTTTGCAGTGAGACAAAAAAAAAAAAACTTCTCACATATTTGGAAAGATAAGCTATAGACCATGGTTTATTATTTTGTTTAAATAACAAAGGAAATTATTTAGATTCTGGCTAAATAAATATTATGTCACCTTATAGCTAAAGATAGCTCGCATTTGACAAACTCATACATTTAAGTCAAACAAGAATAAATTCACTCTGTACTCCTCCCCAATATTTAATCTTCCACTGATTTAAAATACCTTTTACTCCTGTTTTTGTACTCTGACAACATGTCAGAGCCAGTGTAGAAACACTCATTAAACTTTTTTACAACTTTTGAAAAGTAATCATTACTCTTTAGTCTTTCCCAAAAAACCTTGGACAAATAAACAACCAGAAGAAAAGGAAAACATTTTCCCAGGATTTTCTCTCTGGAACTGGCCCGGAGTTATAATAAACACAGCTCCTCGCGTCCAAGGAGATCCTGGGAGAGTCTGGGAGAAGCCACTGCTGCAGCAGAAAGCACTATCTCCATCATCAGCGCTCACCAGGCCTGTCCTCACACTGGCAAGCCCACAAAGCCTGCCCGGAGACAGATGACAGCGCCACAAAGACAACACAGGTGGCTGGGCTGCAGACCACCTGGAGCAGAAAAGCTCAGGACACACTAAGACCTCTGGGAGACAGCACCGAGAGCAGAGTTTGGACATTGGGGGGTGGGGTGGGGAATCATGACGGGGGTGGGGAAGAGACAGGGTAAGAAGTCAGCATGTCGGAATGTGGGAAAATTGTGAGTTGGCTACCTGAGCAAAGGTTAGACTGTGTCATAATGTTAGGGACTAAATGGCATCCTTGAGGATTTAATCATTAAAAATGTTAAATCTATTTGGCAGTTTGTAAAAGCTGACCTTTAGACCTCTGAAATATGCTTTTTCACATTTACCCCAATTGTGACATAGTTAAGGCTAACTGTTAACCATGCACTTAAATAAACTTAAACATTTATTTGCTTCCAATTAGTGTATTTGGGGCTCACTCTATTGGTTACTTGTCTTGTAAGTCTCTGACTAGCACAGCTTTTTTTATTTTACCATTATTGGATGTTATATCAGTTGTATTTAGGATCTAATTTTAAAAGCAATAAAAACAATCGATAACAAGTGTGTTATGTTAAATTCTAGTTGAATGATAAGGTAATGTTTAGCAATACAGGTTTACTTTGTGCTACTTCTGCAGGAGCATTTTGGTATCTGTTTGCTTAGTTCTGCAAAAATATGCCAGTAACAGGGCACCTTGTGTTTTTATTACAACAGCAGTTAAGACACTGAACTCCAGATTTATACCCACACGTTAAAAAAAAAGAACAAAATTTCCCAGGAAATTTTGTCACATAGTAGTGAGTTTCATAAACACCCGAATGTCATGTTTTCTATGGCTTTATTTATAGTGATGGATAAGCTCCTCAAAGCTGACCCTGTATCTATCACCAGCCTCAGCGAAAGACCGGTCTCAAATGTCACAATAAGGTGGCTCACATCAAATCTGACCCCTCACTCCTCTTGCCTCCACCAATAACTGACGTTTTAATAACGATACGGTCTGTCACGCTCAATGGCGCGATTACATGCCCTGCTTTCAAGAGGTTTTCTTCTGACCAAGATGAATCTGCCCCCAACGCCCACGTCCGTGCCCAACTTTGAACCGAGGGACATGCTTCAGTGCCATGACCTTAGTCCACGTCCCCTTAGACACAGCGCTGTGAACTCTTATCCAGACAGTGATCCCCCGGATCAAATTCTGCAGCTTGATGGATATTTTCTGGGTTTTGGTTCTTGAAAGCACAAGTGGACATCCACTGGGGCAGACAGACATGGCCGTCATTGCCTTTTAAGACCCTAAATCAAAGTTTTCTCAGCTGGACACAAGCAATAGTTTGGCTGCAAAGATGGAAGAAGGTGAAAGACGCAGGGAAAACAGAGAATAACAATAAGTCAGACAACAGACTGGAGTGGGATTGATTTGAAACACAGGAAAGGTCCATACTCCCATTGGTCTGCAGGTTCGATTCCTGACCTCCTGCTATTGACGGTGCATTCTACATGGCTGTAACAGCAGATATGGCCTTACCTGCTGCTGGAGAAGCAGCCTTGGAACATCATCGTGGCAGATTGATAAGCCTCCATTCTGTTATTGTGCTGAGAGCCACCCACAGGGGGTTTCCTTCAAACACACACACATAACATAAAGAGTCTGTTATTCTTATGTCAGCAGGGGAGAAAAATTCCACTTCTATTCTGCCTCACCCTTTTCAGAACGCGTGTCTCATTGTGTTGTGCACAGTCCTGAGTATCTGCATGGCGGAACCTGGATTTCTCGGGTGCAGAGCTTCGGCCTGCCGGTCTGCCAGTCGCCTCAGCAGCTGTCATGAAAACCAAACAGACGTTCTTAATTGGTGTTCCAGACTCGAGGAAACTGGACTAAAATATTTGCATAATTTCACAGAGGACTAAGAAAATCGTTAAAACATGTGAGCAGAGGCTCGGGCTAATGTAACCTAACACTCACACAGACGAGTGGCTCTTGGGTGCCACCCAGTGCCAACACTGCCAGGAAGGAAGGAAGGAACGGGGACAGGGAGACAAAGAGACAAAGAGAGAGAAGGAGAGGGAGAGAGGCTGAGAGAGGTGAGGAGTGAAAAGGTCATGCTGGCTGATCCTATCAGCCTGTCTCACCTTCTCATTCTGCTCAGAGTCATAGAAGACCTGACACCAGCAGGACCAAGTCTGTGGTGTCATATGAACTAAACACTGGGTGGTTCCCATTAAAAAAAACATTTTCATCACTGAAAGTCATCTTTTTATACTCCCACAGGAGATGTACACATGTGTACTACAACAATGTACATGGTCTTTAATTAGTATCCACATTCTTTACTTTAGCAGCACTTACTCCTGTGGTTTTTGTTCTTGTTCTCAGTGTGTGGTCACATCAGAGTAGAACTGAATATATCAGAGCAGTGCTCTTTTCAGTTGTTCCTGATCTGCAGGTCAAGACTCCCGTAGAGGGGTCATAGAGTCAGTCTGGGGCATCAGATAAAGAAAGAATTAAAAGAATATTGAATTTTTTTTTTTTTTGCCCTCTTTCAATCTCAGATAAATACAAACAAATTATCTTAAATTAACTTTGATGCACAAAAATAGTCACATATATATAATAATAGTCTATAGACTAATTTCGGACCCACAAATCTAATCTGTTGGACAAAACTTTAACAAGGTAAAATGAGTAAATACTGAATAAAAAAAATATTAGGTATTTTCGTACATAGCATTTCCAGACATACCACCTTAATTTAAAGGTGTACTTATATATTGCAAAACTCAATAGCCAATAAACCTCATCCCTAACAGGAGAATGGGAAGATGGGAGCACAGTCCTGTAGTGGTGGTTCAGTGGATCACAATGTGTGATGTGATCAGGTGAGGGTGCCAGTAGATACAAAGAATCTCAGAAGTTTCTTGGTCGACGAAAACCAAAGCATATGGTTCACAACCCGTTTCTTTCTTCGTTATAAAAACACTCTGGGAACAGCTGTATGTCTGACTATAATTTTTTTCGTGAAGTCGTGAAAATTGAGTATTATTCTACAGTTAGCTCTGCTGCTGTACAGACCACGTCCTCCCCCGTCCTGGTTCCCACGTATGGCCGCGGTGGTGGGCGTTCAGCGGCCACAGCTGAGGCAGGATAATTAAACTAGTCCGGACCATGTGGAAAACACATAGAGCTTTAAATGCCCTCACTGGAGATAACATGAGCGCCATGCAGATGGATCACGTGGGAGCTTCTCATATACAGAGGACGGCAGCTGCACAGAGACGCGGCGGCGAGCTTTGTCACCTTGTAAACGGAAATGACAGACAGGGAAGAGTGGTGAGGCTGGAAGGTTTGCTTGTCTTACAGGGGAAAGACATGGGAGGTAGACACTGCAACTGCAGAGTGGTGTTAACAAACCTCAGGTGTGTGAGGTTCAAAGGAAATTTAAAAAGTGCATTTTTCTATAATATAGGCAATTAAATACTAACAAGTGAAGGGTTGGAATTTTTCACAAACTCCGCCCTTTAGTTCAGTGTTAGCAGTGGAGTGATTACTGTACATCTTATCAAGTGTGGATAAAGTGAGTAAACACATCATTAAATGTCAGCTCCTGATGAGTACAACACAATTATTAAATGATTATGGTGATTAAACACCCACCGGGGTTGGTGGTGTGTCTGCATTATTACACTGATTAATCAACGCCACAGGCTCAGGCTGCAGGAATACGTGCAGCGAGGAGAAGCAACACGAGGTTGAGCATAGCAAGAAAAGTAGTTGAAACATTTCTACAGAGCAGCTTAGAGGAAAAGTTAAATATAAAAGTTACAGATGAGCTAACAACAAAAAATCAAAAAATGACCAAGACTTAGTCAAGGCCAAAAAAAATTAAAGGTTAGCTCAGAAATAGTCACATTTAAGCCACAAAAACAAATGACTAGACTAGCTAATGGTTAGCCAGAAAAAGCTACAGGCTGTGGCCAAATTAATCAGAGTCACAGGCCAATTCAGCAGATGAAGGACAATAGATAAAAACTAGCTGCACGTGAACACCTGGGATGCTGATGCAGAGTGTGTGTGTGTGTGTTTGACTGCGTCTTTCCATGATGACAGAACAAACGACCTCCTGTCATTCATGGCCTTGAGAACCCTCTGTGGACCTGAGGCTCCATCACTGCCTCTGGGGCTCAGCGCCTAGCCAGCCTTGGAGCTGCCTGTTTGCCTCTTTCCACACCGCCGACTAGCCAAACAGCAGGGTCCTCCACCTCTCCCACGGGTCAGGTCCCTCTCAACCCCTGCTAAGCTTTGATCTGACGGACAGAAGAAGGGGCTCTGACAGAGCTTTGGGAACTCTAAGCTCTGTGTGAGTGTGATGGGACAGCAGACAGATTGGTCGGGGGGGATGGGCCGGGGTCAGATGGGGCCAAAGGGCAGTGTCCATCTTGACTGTCCTTCTGTTTGCCGGCTGCCGAACTTCTGTCCTGCACCCAGATACACACGTCTGAAAGACAACCGGCTTTAATAAATCTATTAACTACACTACACTAGGTACTAATTATAGGTGAATTAGTTAGTGATAAGTTTAGCAATTCTGAAATCTAAGAAGAATTGAATTCTCAAATTAAAGAATCCTGACTTTGTTATGTTTTCATACTTTGGGGAATTAACGATGAACTTTAAATTCTAAAAAATATAAGTTAGATTTCTGAATCAAATTTTTTTTCAAATACACAAACTATCGAGACTTTATTGACTCCAATGTAAGATTTCTATTTTTTTTTTTCAATTTCCATTGTCATTGTAAAATTCTTAATTACACATAAAGACCCTATACTGCTATATGGCTCTTGAAGTGACCTCTGGAAATGACAGTCATTTGACAGTGATGCAGTACTGGTCTATATTTTATCCAGACAGGTTGAATTTAGTTATACATTTTCCAACGTTTAAAAAAATAAATGACAATATTTTCTATTTATACCTGACAAATGGCAACACTACGGCCCATATCTAACAAACAGGAACAGGCTGCATCTGTGCCATCAGTGCACCACATGTGGAACATTTAT